GCCTATGACCAAGATAATAAGATGGAGTTATGTTCTAACTAGCATATTATAACTACTTAATCACAGAAAAACATTTAAATAGACCAAATATTTTCAAAATCTTACCATACTCTTCAACAATTTTTGCTCCTCTTGTACATTTAGCTGTCCTTAGGTTTTTGCCAAATGATTCTATGGAACCTGGGACATCTTCTTCAACATGCAAATGCTGCTCAAGATGAAGTAACAACATCCACTCAGAAGAAAAGTCTTCATCAACATCGTAGACCTTTTTCAGATACGTAACCATTTTGCTTGTCAATTTGTTCCCAATTTCAATCATCATTAATCGAAACTTAGTGAAGCAAATTGAGTTTTTCTTGACATCATAAGGAACCTTGATTTCAATCAACGTATCTTTGCAAAAGTCTGTCCATAATTTCTTCTTGCCCATCAACATTAATATTTCATATATGATATTAACCTTTTGTGTAGTAATTTCCTGGCTTTCTTTAAGCACATCAAATAAATCGAGTGCATTTTCCCTTTCCTTTACATTGCTTATATAGTCAAAAAGAATTAATCTTAGCTGACTTGTCTCTTCTCCTGGCTTGATCTTACCAGCCAAAGTACAGATACCCTTAGTGAGCTTTTCTTCAGACATTTCTGCACAGTTATCAACTGGATACCTAGTAGAAAGACATTTCAAAGGTAAGGATAAAAAAGCTTTGTATTGCACAAACCCAACTGACCTGACATGACAAATGTCTAGACCGATCCATTCACATTGATTAGTCTCCCTCTGCAGACACCATATCTGGGGATACAATAGGGATTCATGCACATCATCTGCTACAAAATGTAAAATATCAGAATTATTGTAATCATACTGTACAGTAGTTTTTATCATAATATACTCTACTTTGCACCACTGTACATAGCCTGGGTTCAAGGCCCTAATTGTGGGTTACTCTATATTGCGCTTAGTGCGTGCCATACCTAATTTAATTGGTGCCCCATACTCGATTTCTTTTTTTTTTTGGGGGGGGGGGATTTAAATTAATCTACTCGTTGGTGGTGAAATAGATAAGATAGAAAATAGATACGCCACTAGTAGATATGACAAGCACACGCCCCACCCAAAATATCCCCACCAATGGTGCGTCAATACAGGGCGCCCCTTTCAAATTGGAAATGTCTATGATCAATGCAGCTTGCCCTTTTTTCCAAAAACTATATTGTCAATAATATAACCAATCTCAGATTTTAGGCATGTGGTTACCATATTTCAATCAAAATGTGTGGCATGAATTAGGCAATGAACCAAGCTTAGACCATACATATACATATACAACTATAGTAAACAAAATTTGTCACTGTTCCTTACTAGAGGAGGGTCAATGAATTAACCTCATATCATTAGACTAAAGTGCTGAAAGTACAACATATCATGTGAACCAGTGGTAGTGTCAGAATTCACAAATTGGTAAGGGGGGGGGCTGTCTCTTATACACATCTAGGAAAAGCAGAATATTGGGCCAGGGAGATGTAAACTCCCTGATTGGGCTGAGGCAGTTGTGGGTCCCTTCCATTTGGTTCAGGGGAATGTGGGATCAAGGGCTTGCTTTGCCTACAATTTTTGGAAATAGATAACTTGAGGCAGTGGTGCTGTCAACATTTTCCTGACACTGCAGCTGGATCCTTATTCCACAACAGATGATTCAGACATAGCAACCACTTGAAACAATAATCAATAGTGATGGGAATGAGGTTAGCAAAGGGAACAATATGCAATATTTAAAATAATTTTAGTTTTTTCTGCATTAACATTATATTTTATTACAAATACCCAAAATAAAAAATAAATATAACAGAAAATTAATACATTTCATCTAAAAAATCTAATTTTTCTAAAATGTATAAAATGAAGGAGACTTTCTAATTTACTTTTGGAAAATATTACTTTTCGGGGAACGTTTAAACTCCTTGGATTAAAACTGTTTCATCGGCAGCTGGATTGTAAAAACTTTTACCCCAATATGACATTCCCTAGATGGCACATACTGTACAATGAAGCAGAATTATTATTTGTCAAAAAATGTTCAACTATTTTTTAATTTCGTACAGTAACCGCCCATGTCTGAATGGAGACACCATAAAATTTTGAATAGATGCCTAATCACCTTATTTTGAAAAGAAGCCCCTCTTCAGTTTGCAAAAGTAATCTCGTAAAGAAGCCAATGGGCTTCTAATCAAGGTAATTTGAGCTGCTTTCGAGATAGCACTTGCATTCATACTGACACTATCTTTGATTATTATGATAGAGTGTCAGCATCAATATTATTTTATAGAACAATAATAACATACAGTAATATATTAATTTCCTCATAAACAAATACAGGAGGGGGATTAAGCCAAGTAGGAACAAGGTTCCTGTACAAGGTTTGGCAACCCCATTACATCAAACATAGCATAACATGAAAGATAAAAAAAGCAAATGGTGAAAACACAGTCACCACAGCAAAAACACCCTGCAGAAATAAAACGCCAGATTATTGGTTAGATTAACATGTTGTCCCACTGTCGTTTTGTGGAAACTTTATAGTAAAAAAATATCCAAGGGCCGGGGATTAGTGAAAAGGTAAATTAATAATAATAAATATTAATTGTAATAATTAAAAATAACCGAGAGACCAGGTCAGCCTATTAGTCTGAGACTATATATATTATTTATTATATAGTTGTCTCAGACTTAGTTGGCTAATGCTAGGTTTACATTGTTCTCAGTGGCCATGGCAGCCTGTTTGCCCGAAACAGTGCGCCGTGGGATTTTGCCAATTTTTTCTCATTTTTATTCAAGTTCTGTTAGATCTTGCTCAGTTTTTTCGTTTAGGCTTCTATCACAGCTTGGTCTTTGTCGATTGCTTCTTCTTGTTTTATTTGTGGCGTTTTTCCTATACTTCCCTTCCCACTACATACCGCCTCCCAAGTTTTGTTACAGCGTACTGTCACGTTTTGTTGCGTTCACCCCCTTTTACTACAGCCTACTAGGTTTATCATCTGCACTGTGACTGACATGGGAAATTTTTTGACAGTTTAAAAATCTGCACTAGCATCCACAGCAATCACGCTTCTTTATTTACCAATATTTGAACTCTCTTCTATGAGAAAATAATAGTTCAATTCAGTATTTGAATTGATTTCAAAGTATTTCGAAGTTTTTAACTTACAATTAAAATTTTGAACGAGAAAAAATACTTTAGCAATTAGCCTATGATGAATAGTGCCCCAAAATTATTGATTGTATTGAATATACTGTACTGGAAAATTACAAAATCCTACAAAAAATAAATAGGCCTATAAATATTATAATATGTAATATTAAGGATGTACAGTAAATTAAGTAAAGTAAGGATGCACAGTCTGTCACTGTCAGTCAGAGCAGTCTCAGTCTAGCATCAAAATCGACTGAAAAGACGATCGTATAACTGCACTTCAAAAAATGATCCTTTGCAGTCTCTCTAGAAGGTTTGATGACGTCAAATTTTACATTAGCCAATCACGGAAATAGACTGGCAAATTATCAATGTTAGTATACCGGCATATTATCAATCTTTTACTCCCCAGCAGACCTCAACATAATCTGGGCCTACTACTGTAGCCAGAGAGCCCATCCAGGGGTAGGCACCAGGCCTATGCCTAAGTACAGCTAGACCTAGGGGGTCGATTATATATCGCCGTGGTTATTGATCCGACACTGGAACCTGATTTCCCAGCGCTAGAAGTCTGACACACCATTGCACGTGACATGAAAGACCATTGATATTTTCTGATCGTCTGTAATTAAATTCCATAATTAATACATCACATTGACTCAATGATTGACACTCCCTGTGGCCTAGCCTACAGTAGGCCTACCTACCCTAGCTAGGTAGGCCTAGGCCTAGTAGGGAATTTGTGTTCCGGTGTTGGATCAATAACCACGTTTTTACTTACTTAGGTCTAGGCCTATTAAATGGCCAAGAGGAGAGAGAGGGTGCACCTTGCTTGTACTGTGTACCTGCTGGTGGTGTAGGCATAGGCCTAGCTTTGGGCCAGCCTATCTAAGCTAGGTCTCTAGGCCTAGTCCTAGCATATAGATAGGCCTACTTGCCTAGCCTAGAGGGCCTAGCTAGCCTTGTCAGGAACAGAGAATTTCAAAGCACTTCAACCAAGGAGGTATTAAATAATATTTAATACCTCCTTGCTTCAACCATGAATGATTGCCGAACGTCGGATCAGGGAGATGTAAAAAATAATAATATTTTTTACATCTCCCTGGTCGGATCATCACTAATTAATAATAATAATGATTTGTATGACTCACCTGTAAATAAAAATGATACAAAAAACTTAAATCATCAAATTTCAAGGATAGGGGCCTAGGTACGCCTAGGCCAAGCAGTAGTAGTACAGTGCAGTAGGTGCCAAGAGTAATGACGAATGACGTGTCGACGAACCTCCCCTTTTTTCCGGAGGAGGTGGGAAGAAATTCCCTAAGCTATTTTTAGAAATTATGTAGAGGGCGTAATTCACACACACACACACACACACACACACACACACACAAAAGCGTGAACCACTTGGACGTGCTATCAGTATAACCTAAAACCTCCATGGTATAACCATGTCCCGGTTTCAGACTTTCTGGACTTCACACATATTTAAAAGGCACGTGCCTCCAATTATATAAGATCTTTCAGATCTGGATAATCATTATTTTCCAAAAGTGCCCCATCAACCTTTATGCAAATTGCATATATTATTAGGCCCTATTCTATTTATTACTTATTTATTAATTTCATGTAGGCCTACGGGATCCTAACTGCCAGATTTGTTGCCATGGTAAAAAGTGGAAAATGAATCGAATTATGAAAGGTGATAGGCTGTGGCACCGAGACATCTGATGATTGTGCCTAAAAAATGTTTACAAATAGGCCTATAATGCAATAATGGCATATTTTCGAAATATATTTCAACCGCTCCGAATTTTCCTATTCTTCCTTCTTTCAATTTTTTCACGTTTTGTGTTACTTTTTATTCATACTTTTTATACGTATAGTAGCCTACTTTACACACACAAGTTAGGCCTATATTTATCTAAATATACAATTTGAAGAGATGCCTAAGATTAAATTAACACGGATGTAAACCTAGTAATTCATACTTAAACAATACATTAAATTTATAAATGTTAACAAATAAATAACAATTATTAAAACGTAGACATATGTGTCACTAAATATTAAGATTTTTTAATCTTATAATCAATTTCATATAGCCGGAGTATTGACCTAGGCTACTGTGGCTAACGACAGGTAGGCCTACGCTTTCTCCATTAAAATGGCGGCTTTTTCTATAGTAGGCCTACGAATTGAATAACCGTAAGAAGCACGAGCTCCTGAGACCACCAAACCCTTGCTACGTGCGGGAAATATACTCATGAAACTCTATAAATATGAAAATAATATATATAATGGATTTTAAATAATCTATTACTTTAAAAAGAGAGAGACGTATAAATATCTCTATTCTTTATTTTTAATAATCGGGAAGATTGACAAAATTTAAAAAAAAAAAATGTTTTTTTCCCGCTCCTCAAGTTACTGGTTCCGCACACGATATCTCAAAACTGATCTACATATGATGTATGAAACTTCTGGAAGCGTTCCAAGTTACAAGGAAGTCATTTTTGGTGGTGATGATCTGATCATTGAATCTCAATGAAATTTTCTAGAATGTTTTCATGTTTCAAGGAAGAAAATAACGATTAGTGACGAGCCCAGAGTAGGGTGGAAGCCATTTAAAGAGAAACGTTCCCAGATATCTCAAAAACTGATCAACTAATTTGAATAAAACTTTGTGGAAGAGTTAACCAAGTTACAAGAAAGAAATGATTCAATTTTGGTAACGATCTAGATTCGGGTGTGAAGGTGGGAAGGGGCGGGGATGTCCTTTATAATGCTAATTTGAGACAAATATCTCAAACTGATCAAGAGATCTGAATAATTTTAGTTGGTCATGGTCCAAGGAAGAAGTGATTAAATTTTGATGACAATCTGGAGTTAGGGTGTGGATATGAGGGAGGACCATTTAAAAGCAATTTCCCAGACCCAGACAGATAGGGCCTATTTATTTAGATATCTAAAAAAATGATAAATGCATCTGAGAACCTTACTGGAATGGTACCGGTACTGTACGTCATGGCCAAGTAAAACAGCATGCAATTTTGGTGACGTTCCGGGAGTAGGGTGTGCATGTGGAAGACGAAGACCTAAATATCGTAAAAACTGATCTGAAGGAAACTTTCTAGAATGGTTTGTCAAGGTTCAAGGAACAATGATTAAAGACTCTCAATGGCTTCCGGATCGCACATAACTAGAAACGTACGTATTAGTTGTCTAATGAAAGTATGTCCCGTGCTCGAACACCGGTGGAGGTTGATAGTTTGTTTTCAAAAGAAAAGGATGCGTGGGAATTGTTTATACAGGGAAATCATGATTTGGGAGTAAATGCAATAATTTAATTTAAAAAAAACCCCGAAATAAATGAAATGAAATATATTGATCATAAAAAAAATCACATAATAAAGAAATGAAATAGTAAATAACAATAACATTTACAATAAAGCGTTATTGTGTGTTCTGTAGAGTTATTGGTTTATGTGATAATCGGCAGTATTATGAAATGCAGTATTTCTACTGTGTTACGCGTTATAGAACAATATTATTACAAGTTGTTACAAAGTGTTAAAATGAATCATTAGTGTTACAATTTTAGCTTTGATGACAATCGCAATCTCTTTTAAGCTTATTAATGTATTATGATTAAATACAAGTGTAGTATCATAGTGCCGTGTTTCCTGTTACTTTGTCTAGAAAAATCAGGTCATTAGGCCGGGGTGCAGCAATAAAGTCTTCTTTTTTTAAAGCTATTATTTCATTAAAATTTCAAATTTATCACGAAATCCACGCACTTTATTTGCCAGCACTTACTCGTACTTCACTAGATGAATGAAAATTAAATGAAATTTTCATGAATTATTGGCTAGTCCTAGTGCATCCGTTAAAATAAGTTCGTTAAAATGCAAATTTATTGGCGCTTCCTAGAGCTCTGCCCCAACACCCACAGGGATCCCAAGATGGCCCAGGTCCCGTGGCCTAAGTTTCTCTCTTTGTTCGCTAAAACGCACCCAACCCTTTACATCAAAAATCCTGCATACTGGCTTGAATTTCCAGTGGCGAATGTTAGTTGGTTTGTTTTTTTTTTTCACAAAGTGGTGAATGTGTGGCGAATGTTAAATTACTACAATTTACATACGTTAATTATTTTTTTTCGAAGTGACGAAAGTTTAATGATAAATTGCTAATTAACGTTATTATGCTCATATTTATACACAGGATTTTTATTTTATTTTTATATTCTTTTTACAAGGATTAGGAGGCAATGTACTCTAATCATAGAGAAATTTAGGCAATTTCGTTAAAAAAAAAAAAAACAAGGTAAGCCTATGCTAATAAAAATTACTATTTTTCAAAAATCTTTAAATGCGTTTTTCTCAAAATGCACTTTTCCACATTCGCCACTACGTTATAAGGGACGGTATGTAACAATGAATTGCTGCACATGTCACATGATGGTTAAAAACGTAAATACCATCATAATGGTGTATTGTGCTTGTGGACAATCGGCTGATTTTAGGAACCCTCCAAACTGCAACAAAGATTCACGCTGATGTGATCCTTATCCACTTTCATCTTACCCTCAAGGTATAGCAGAGTTATAATCTTCGCACTTTGTAATAACTGTCGCACTTTGTAATAAAGTATGTCGCACTTTGTAATAACTGTCGCACTTTGTAATAAAGTCTGTCGCATTTCGTAATAAATGCTGTCGCACTTAGTAATAAAATGAGCTGTCGCACTTTGTATAATAAACTCTGTCGCACTTTGTAATAAAACGCAATCCATGTTATCATCTATAGATATTTTTTTTTTTATAAATTCTCATTTTTCTCGGGGATCGAATTTGATTTTTCATCCTGTTTCGTATTGTATCATCTTTACATCGATGGAATGGCTCCAACCCCAACAGACCCCGCCCTGGATCTAGTGGGATTGGAGTGTCGGGTCCAAATCCCATATATGGGATATGGCTCCAGTCCAACTTGACCCCATCCATTGAAGATTCCGAACCGTATGACGGAGGTCACGGCTTAAAATCTCAAAGAAGTCCTATTATTTTCCTCTTATTTCGTATTATACCATTGTTAAGTTTAAGGTGGTATGGCCTCATTTGTACTCAGATCGGTCAGAGCGTCCACATAGTATGTCGGAAGAATCGGTTAGAACTTCCGAACAGTATGAAGGAGGTTCCGGGTTCAAATCCCAAGGAGGTCCACTTTCATTTTCTTATTTTCTATTAAATCATCGTTACGTCGATGGAGTATGGTTGCAATTCTATTGGACCCCCATAACTCTGTCGGTCAGAGTATGACGGAGGTTCAAATCCCAAAGAGGTCCAATTTAATTTTAATCTTATTTCGTGTTATATTATCATTACGTTGATTTGGTATGGCTCTAAGGACCCCATAACTCTGTCGATTAGTGCATCCACATGATATGTCGGGGTTCCGGTTCAGTCGATTGACTGACAGCATTTAATAATTGCGAGCTTTTACTGTTTGTCAAATCATGAACCAATAAATAATGAGAATATAATCGACATTAAATCTGTAATCTTCATCCACGTCATGTTTAATTTCTACATCACTACTTAAGATAATGATAAACTGAATGTAGCCTTATTAAAATGACTAACTTAAATACACAAAACAATAACTGAACTGCATAATTATGATTCATATAACATTGACTATAATGCATGGTTTAAACATGTTAATAAGGGTAATTTAAGACATTCGCTATTTATATATATATCTCTTTTTATGTTGTAAGTTGTGTTTACATATTGTTGTAGCATGGTACTCTTTCAATTATTTATATTATTCACCTGATAATGAGCTACTAGGTACAGTATAGGTGGAGTTATGGGTAAGTCTATATAAGTTTTGCATTTCAAAGTACGACAAAATGTAGAGTAGCTAAAACAATATTTACAGCGGTCACTTGCTAGGAATCGCTAACAAAAACACCTCCCATCACAAAAGTGTATTTAAAAAACTAAGAAATTGCTAATTGAGTAAAATAAGGAAATTAATATAATACGTTATCTAGGGTGGTATAGCGAATTGATTTGTTTCTGTTTTACTCCTTCCTCCAAAATATATCTAGAATTGTAAACCACCCATACCCCTCTCTCTGGAATACAAGCCACGCATTTGCCCATTTTGAGTGCCCAATTATCCTCCTGATCTCTAGATAAGGCCACTGCATGCTCCGAATTTCATTATAAGTTTTCTGACAC